TACCTTCCAAATGTAAAAACCTACCAAATACAGCAGTCTTTCAAAAATTAATTAATTTTAATGTATATAATCCTAGGATACCTACATCATACATGCAACAAATATTTTATATTTAATTGATCAAACTCAAATTGCAATGATTTTAATGAACAGCCATGGTATAGCTAATGGAAGACTGAAATATAATCAAATCGGCACCCGGATACTGTGCATAAGACAAGCATTCAGTGAAGATCTGCTGATGTGGCAAGTGCTCTGGTTCATGAAGTTCACGTCTTACTTCTGCCCTAATGAGTTGAGACAGAATTAGCACTGGCTAAGTCGTCTGTGTGCTGCCCAGAGGGGTTTGTTGAGGGTAAGAGTCTGAAGATAGAGATTAAGGAGTCTTCATCCTGCTAATGTGCTGGGCATCCAGGATTAGAGCTCTGGGTCAGAGAAATTCGGCATGATGCAAACCTAAGCACCACTGCACTCCAGGACTTTGGGATGACTACACACTGCATTTAAAACTGACCGCCGAGTCTGCACTTTTACTCCAGAGCATTTCAACTGCTGTAGCAAAGTGACATTTGTTCACAATTTGTCTACATGTTTCCAAATACAAGCGGTACCCTGACTATGTGAACGTTAATACTTAAAGACTCACTGGTTGCTCATGTGACTCAGTACTCCAGAAACGGTGGGTTTGCAGAAACACAGAATTGGAGCTTCAAGTATCTACCTGGCTGATAAAAGGAAAGATCTGGTCAACACGAGAATATTTCCTTGGAAGTGTCCTGATTGTAGTTGCTTTAAAAGATAATTTGGGACATACAAATGAGAATAGGCATAACATTATGAGATAAGGCAATTTTTTTTTTTCTTTTTAGAAAGTTTGGGCACAATAGATGTGGTTGTTGTTGCTGTATGCCATCAAATTGATTCTGACTCATAGCAACCCTATATGACAGAGTAGAACTGCCCCATAGGGTTTTCTAGGCTGTAATCTTTATGGGAGCAGATCACGAGGTCTTTTCTTCCACAGAGCTGCTGGTGGGTTCAAACCACTCACCTTTCAGTTAGCAGCAGAGCACTTAACCATTGTGCCACCAGGGCTCCTTATAGATATGATAATGATAAATTAGTGAGCACATACTTACAAGTGTGAGGATGAAAAGAAACTAGGAAAGCAAAGTGGAGCCCAGAACTCTTGCACGCAGGTGTTTTGGATGTCAATGACTCATTCTCCTCCCCAGGGGCCTCTATGACTTCTGGACTGTTATGGATGGAACTGTATCCCCCAAAACTGTGTGTCTACTTGGCTAGACCATGATTCTCAGTATTGTGTGGTTGTCCTCCATTTTGTGATCTGATGTGATTCTTCTATGTGTTGTAAATCCTAACTTCTATGATGTTAATGAGGCAGGATTAGAGGCAGTTATGTTGAGGCAGGACTCAATCTACAGGATTAGATGGTATCTTGAGTCAATCTCTTATGAGATATAAAAGAGAGAATCCAGCAGAGAGGAGAGGAACCTCATACCAACAAGAAAGAAGAGCCAGGAGTGGAGCGTGTCCTTTGGACCTGGAGTCCCTGCACTAAGAAACTCCTAGACCCAGAGGAAGTTTGATGACAAGGACCCTTCTCCCAGAGCTGACAGAGACAGAAAGCCTTCCCCTGGAGGTGGCACCCTGAATTCAGACTTCTAGCCTCCTAAACTGTGACAGAATAAATTTCTGTTCATTAAAGTCATCCACTTGTGGTATTTCTGTTATAGCAGCACTAGATAACTAAGACATTTCCCTAGATATTGGGAATAGTTTGCATCTTAGGCAAAAATTTGGTGTACTGATAAAAATAAATAAGCTACCATATCAGAAGTATACAAAAATTTTGTAGATTAGGTTCAACCCCTCTCGAATCACAAAAAGAAAGAAAACCAGACCCAATAACCTGAAGTTTAGAACAGGTATGGTACTAAAAAGTCCCTGGGTGGCACAAATGGTAAAGCACTGAACTACTAACAAAAGGTTGGCAGTTCGAACCCACCCAGAGGCCCTTAGAAGAAAGGCCTGGAGATCTACTTCCAAAAGGAAAGCCCTGTGGTATACAGTTCTACTCTGCACACATTAGGTCAGTAGCAACTGGTTTGGGCATTTTTGTTATGGTACTAAGGAGGGCTTTAATCACAAAGTAAATGCTTCCTTTCTTCATCCCCTTTGGACTGACAGCCTTCAGTACCTCCATTTATTTCACAGAACTTGTGACTAGTGATGAAAAAAACCCTGCTGTGTTGTTGCAGACAATGGATTCCACAGAGCCTCATAGAAATGTGCCTATGCTTGGCGAGCCTGCTACTTCAGAAGAAAGGCATTTGTGCCGATTATCAAGCGGAATGACATTAGAAGGTAAGAACATTGCCTGAATAGACACGGTTGCTGCCCCATTCCACATCCCCTCAGTCCTCTCTTAGATCACGTGCAGCCGTAGAGTCTCTTCCCATCTCAAGCACCTGCATCTCTCTGCTTCTCAGCCTGAAGGCTTTCTCCCATGCCACCGGAGCTTGTTGGATCTAGCTCAGGCATAACCTAGAGGTGACAGAGAGGTAGTACCCTAGGAACAACAACCTTCAATGAACAGGGGACAAGAATCACTGGGTAAATGGCTAACTCTTTGTCCTGTAGGGATAATTCTGAGATGTATACCAGAAGGTTTCTCAGAGGCTTCCAGCAAGATTGAGCCTCAGCTGCACACACATTACCTCATCTCTTATTGCCATTTCCCTTCCTGCTTTCGCTTCCCCATTCTCTCACTTGGGCTTCAGGGATCACCTCCCAATTAAATTGTCTGCACTCAAGTCCCTCTCTCAGGGTCTTCTTTGGGGGATCCCAAAATAAGACATTCTCATCTACTTTTGTTGACTAATCTGTATGACATTTCCCAAGGGTTATATGTGTAGGGTGAAGGAGGTAGTCAACCTCTAGACAATCCTTGTTTGGTGATATTCTACATCTTCCATTCCTCTCTTCCTTCTCCTTCCTGGTTTGTTTCAAACCTCAGATAAAATGCAAGATGAATGTTACATTTTATAACTTAAAACTTTCAATCTCACTCACAGCTGAGTTTAAACTTCTGCTAGAGAGCATCAATTCATGACACAAATCAGAGCTGAGTAATTTTTCAAAATGGAACACCAACTTGTGTCCCACATTGCTGTGTTGTGTAATGGACTAGGGAGAAGGTGGCTGTGCACCCTGAGATGTTAAGCCATGGAGCAGTGTCCAGCCAGAGGTGCAAGCCCACATCTGACTTACCCCAGCCAGTGTTCTGTGTGGGCATTCTCACCACGGCTTGCAGGCACCTGGTAGATATTTTTATCCTAATAGTGACTGTGCCACGGTCACTAAACTGTCTGTCTTAGTTATCTAGTGCTGCTATAACAGAAATACCACAAGTGGATGGCTTTAAGAAAGGGAAATTTATGCTCTCACAGTCTAGGAGGCTAGAAGTCCAAATTCAGGGTGCCAGCCCCAGGGGAAGGCTTTTCTCTCTCTGTCAGCTCTGGGGGAAGGTCCTTGTCATCAATCTTCCCCAGTCGAGAAGCTTCTCAGCATAGGGACCCCAGGTCCAAAGGACATGATATTCTCCTGGCTCTTATGTCGTGGTGGTATGAGGCTCCCACGTCTCTCTGCTCGCTTCTCTCTTTTATATCTCAAAAAAGATTGACTTAAGTCACAACCTAATCTTGTAGATTGAGTTCTGCCTCATTAACATAACTGCTCAGCATCATAGAGGCAGGATTTACAACACAAAGGAAAATCACACCAGATGAGAAAATGGTGGACAATCACACAGTACTGGGAATCATGGCCCAGCCAAGTTGACACATATTTTGGGGAGACACTATTCAATCCATAACACTGTCTGAGGTCACTATCAGAGAGAAAACTATACTGACCTCACAGAAATACAGTGAAAATAAATGAGCATGAAGAACATGTTTAAAAATAGGTGAATTGAATTTGACTTGAATTTCCAATTTGGTCAGTAGGTTTAGGTCTGGGGAGAAAAAAAAAAAAAAGAGCCTAAAGAAGTAATTGCTTATTTTTAGTTTTTGAACTATATGAATGTACTATTTTAAAATTTAAATCAAATATACAAGAAGGAAAGACAGACCATTACCTTGAAAAGCAGAACATTTCTTCCCTAATTTCCGTTTCTCAAACGTAGCTATAGGTATCTCAGATTATTTTTTTTAAAAAAAGTAACAATTGAGGATGAAGAAGCTAAAATGACTTGTTTGCCTAGTACTTATTTAATATTTAAAACAATTTCAAGGACATTAATAATTAACAAGAAAATGTAAGGCAAAATATTATCCCTTTGACAATAACCTCTTTTTCTGATCACTAAGTTCTGAAGATAAAGCATATGCATACTTGTGTTTATGTACCTTTGGCTATAACTTGGGCACTTGTTCTAATTAAATACAGTCTCATACAGCTAGCCTGTATATCCTCTCTGGTTAGATATATTTTTAGCCATTAAGAACATCCCCCCCAGCCTCATTTTCTGTTTTAATCTTATCCACTAAGTAAGAATATTTTTCCAAAGATTGAACAGATGGAAGAATTTATGCCTTTGAACCTCTGGAAATACAAAAATTAAAATAAGCTGCAAGAAAGAATTTGGTATTTCTGGAATCTTTCAAGGCTGGTTTAATTTTATTATTGCTTGTAGAGTGGTATGACATTGCCAGTGGACTGTGCAATAAAATTCAAGGACACATTTATGAAACACTAGTTCTACAATTGTACCTGGGTGCTTACTATGGAGATGTTTTTGTGTAACTAAAAGCTTGGCATATAGTCTTCCCAAGTTCTGGGAAAATACCAAGGGTTTCATTGTCTTCAAGAAAAATTCAAATAGTTCTCAAAAAGTAGAGTTATTTGCTGACACATCTCTCTGGTTCTTTTCAGAATTCCATCAGTGGCAAAAGCTATTGATGATAAACCCAACGATGGCCGTAAACCCTTTCTTGACAATATCAGGGCAGCAGAGGACCTCACTGGGTCCCTCACCATTTGAACCTCGAACAGTGGCCAGGTATTTCTCTCCAATATGATATCCCATCACAGGAGAAAATAGATCATCTTTGAGTTTGGAACAATGTTATCCCCTGTGTTGTTTTATTGCCTAATGCTGTTTCAGTAAACTGGTGCAATAATTCACATGAAGATACTCTGCTAGCCACACCTTCAAGACACCTCCCATTACCTCCCCTTCCAAGCCTGCTTGACCTACTCACTCAGCAAAGAGCTAACGAGCACTAGCATATGACAGGCACTGCACAGGTGCAGACATTGGATACCCTAGATTTCCTGTAATAGAACAATTCTTTCTTTTCAATATAAGTGAAGTTATAAGTACTTTGGTTGCAAGTTCTGGTAGTATACCGTCTTCCCTTCTTTAGAGTATTTTGACATTCTGAGGAGAAAGTAAGTTCCATTATTTATTCTTGTTGACTAAGTGTGAACAGGAAAGTTGGACTTCCAGTGACCACTGAAGCTTGGTAAAATAAATACATTGTCCACCTAGGTATCATATACTGATCCCAGATGGCAAACCCAAGCCAAAGTATGTCCATGAAACGAGAAAAGAATGTTGTGGTTAAAAGAGTATGATGGTCAGTATGAAAGTGGTATTGATTTGATTAGATCTGCTTTTTCAGACATCCCTAAAACTTTACTTTCCTGCTTTCTCACTCATTTTGTCAGCTAGGTCAATCCTTCCTTAGCAGAGTCCTTCCTCCTAATATTTCATACCATATTTCTACTTAAACCAATAGAGACTACAGGATATTGTACTTCATTTAAGGAAATTATGATAGAATCCCATATGCCAAAAAAAACAAACACACACACACACTCACACAACCATGTCAGCAATAGCTGTGAAGATATTTTGTGGGACTCCACCCTTATTTTATCTACTTTGTCTTTTGTTCCTAGAGATTTATTGCCTTCTACTGTAGCTCCAACTGACCCAAGACACTTTTGTGTTTCTTCCCAATTTGGATCTTCTGTTATACCTAATGCAAATATGCCGAACATGCTGTCCAATCATGCCTACTCAGGTAGGAGCAATAAATGCGTGGCTCTTGTGTGTGGTGCCACTTTGAACTGGTTGGCTGCAATGAGCTTGCTATCAAGTTTACTGCTAAATTTTGAAAGCAAAACTGTGTGGTGATTATGTTTATAGTTTCTGCAGTCACTGCCTGAGTTCAAAACATGGTTCCACCACAGTATGACTATAGGCAAGTTGCTTAACCCCTTTAAGCATCAATTTATTCATGCTAACATGAGGAATTACAATACTACTATCTGTGTATCTTACACATGAGGAATGATGAAGTCATGAAAAGATGAGATGTGAGACATAATGGGGCTGAGGGCAGTTGATGTTTCTCTTGATAGGTCATAGAGAGGACTTCGGCTTTTATTCTAGTAAGAGGGAAAGACTTTAGAGAGATTGAGTAACATAGTCTGACTTGCATTTTACCAGATGTCTTAGGCTGCGTTCTCTAGAGAAGCAAAACCAGTAAAGTGTATAAATATATATATAGAGAGAGATTATATCAAGGAAACAGCTCACGTAATTGTAGAGGCTAGAACGTCCCAAGTCCGTGGATCAGGGTAGAGGCCTCTCCCAAGTCACACAGCTGCAGAAGCTGGCAAGCCCAAGATCGGAAGGTTGGAGAGCAGGGCTCCCACTCACAGGCTGTGCAGATCGATGAATCCCAGGTTCCGCAGATAAGCTGACAGCTCAAGTCCCAAGAACGGGAGATGAGACGACAGGAAGCAGCCGCAGGATCCAGAGAGAGCAAAAAGCCAGAATGTCTGCTTATATACAGATTCGGGCCACACCCTCAAGGAGACTCCCTTTCATCTGATTGGCTACTCACAGTATATTCAATCATTAGAGTGATTACATTAAAACACAGAAAATCATGGCCCAGCCAAGTTGACACACAATCTCAACCATCACACCAGGTCACTGGGGAGCAGGGTCAAGCAGAAACTCACTGATATAGTTTTTGAAAGATAAGATAGTCCAGCTTGATCTTCAGTGTTGGCAGGAAATTTGTGGTGCAAATGGTTTGTGTTTGACTACTAACCTAAAGATTGGTGGTTCAAACCCACTTAGCAGGGCTGCAGAAGAAAGGCCTGATGACCTGCTTTTGTAAAGATTATAGCCAAGAAAAGTCTATGGAGTTCAGTTTTACTCTGTAACACGCGGAGTTGCCATGAGTTGGAATCGACTCAATGGCAATGGGTTTGGTTTTTGTTTTACTCTCTCGTGAGCCTGCTCTAGTCGTGTTTTCAGTGACCCCATTCTACTGAAATTGCTCTTATCAAGATCACCAATGACTTCCACATGGATAAATCTAATGATACATTATTAGTCCTATCTTAATTGGGAGCCCTAGGGGCACAGTGGTTAAGACCTATGGCTGCTAATGAAAAGGTCAGCAGTTTGAATCCACCAGCTGCTCCTTGGAAATCCTATGGGGCAGTTCTACTCTGTCCCACAGGGTCACTATGAGTTGGAATTGACTCGACTGCAACGGCTTTTGCTTTGGTTTTTTAATCTTACTTGACCTGTGAGCAGCTTGCTTGACACAGTTGCTCACTCTCTCCTTAAAACACTTGCTTCTCTTGGCTTCCAGACTTATTTGGGAAAGAGGAAGAACCTTGGAATAGATTTGATGAGTCCAGATTTCAGAGAGTCCTAAAAGCCAGACAATTAGAATTGTGCCCTCTACACCTCTACACAGACTTTCTCTGCATCCTTGGGCAGTGGGCCATGGGTTGGTAGTTTCATGCATGCTAGTTGTCTAAAGGAGAATATCTTGAAGCTACTGAACTATAAAAAACATAGTGTTAAGGTTAGAAGAACCCCTAGAGGTCACCTCATCTAACTCTTGAATTTTATAAACGTCAAATACGTTTGTACAACACCAAACCTGGTGATCTGCTTCTGTGAAGATTACAGCCTAGAAAACCCTATGGAGCAGTTCTGCTCTGTCAACATGGCGTCACTATGAGTCGGAATTGACTCAAAGGCACCCAACAAACAATAACAACAGGAGTCCAAAAAAAAAGGAAGAATCAATGTAGCATAAAGTTACCAGACAAGAAAAGAGCCTTGAAAAATCTGGTGGTGGTGCTGTTATTTCAAGTTATTTTGGAAGGCTGGCATGAACAGAATAATGTAATTGATGCCCAACTCCATTGGAACCATTCTGGAAAAAGTATTTACCTCAAATATACCTATAAGTCTAAAGAGAGAGCCTTATATTTTAACCACTTAAATTCTCAATGCATTTATTTCCAGGGGTTCCCAGGCATCAAGAAGCACTTAACTAATTCCTGTTATACAAAAAAAAAGTATCAATTTTTACTTCAAATGCAAGTGATTCACAGGTCATTTCATCTTTTTTCTTTAGAAGTATGGCAGGAAAATGTTGCCAGTCATGAGACCAACAATCAAAGAAAAAAAAAGCAAAACTATCTAGTGTTTATCATGCTATCACCAAAGCAACTCTAAAATGCTGAACAGCAATGATCTGATACCATTTCCAACATAGTGCTCAACTGGCAGCTTTTTGAAGATACTTTATTATATCATCATATTTTATTTTATTATTTTCAAGTGTATGTTGTTAATTTGTTTGTCGGGTGGGTGATGGTTTTCTTTTTTTTAAGGTTGGGGCATTTTACCACCTGAATCCATAAAAACAATGGCCAGAAGAAATGAAATGATTCAAAAGCATAATACTGCCAGGTAACTTAACATTATTTTCTTTATTTTTCTATTCATTCACTTGTTCATTCATTCGTTTATTTATTACACATTTATAACATACATGCTGATTTCTTACAAAAAGTATTTCAGGAACATTATAAATAAGAACATACACAAAACTGTGTACAGGTTAGTTAAGGATAAAAGCAAGTCAGAAATCATATAGTGAAGCTAATAGTGGTATTCGTCTACAGATTACACAGTTTGCCCGTGTCCCATAATCAAAGTATCTAGTTGTGATTCTTCTGAAATTCATATTGGCATTCCTGTAGTAAATGATTCTTATTCTCCCCAAAGATAGCATGCCAAGCTTGCCACCCCCACTTCACATTGCACCATCAGAGCCCAGATAACCTCATGTCAGCTCATCAGTGGTATGATTTGATTAGATTGGGTCAGCTGTAATGACCAGGAGAAAGAAAAGCACAGCAATAATGACCATAATACAAGGGTATGGCCCAAAGGTGAGGGAAGGCATCAGGGTCAGTTTGTTCATACTGAACCTTCAGGGGTCCAGATGACCATTAAGCAATGTGAATTAAGCAAAAACACCAGCAAGTCCTCCCCCTCCCCCATGTTGTTGTAAATAGGGGTGATTTGCATTGATTTATAACAATTGAGACTTGCATAGTTTATTGCCTTTCTTGAGTCCCACTAAGATTATATTGCAGAGTTTAGAAAATCTCTTCCCAGAACTTCAGATTTTTTAGGATTAATCTCTGGCAAGAAACTACATTGTGCTGCATTCTCTCCATCTCTCATAAATTTGCCATATTCTGTTAGAAGCAAAGCTCTAAAGACTGGCCTTGAACTTCCATTGTGAGATTCAGCCAAACCTTTACCCTCAGATCTTACTCCAAACTCTTCTCCCCAGTGGCTTTGTGGGGGATTTATGTTTCCTCCTAAGAAACGTCACATAAGCCTGTGGGGACTCATAGGAAAAGCAGAGGTGCTATCTTAGGGAGGGCAGAAGGCCATTATAATTATATTTCTAATGATTTTCTTGTGTTGTATAAAATATGTTATTTTGTTTTTAGGACAGAAATGGAAATGTATGCCATTTATCAGCAAAGAAGAATGGAAAAAGTTAATCCCAAGGGGCTAATGGGTTTAGGGATACCATTCCTCTATGGCTCCAGTATCCCAGCAGGCCCAGCCACATACCATGGCAGAAGCATGCTCCATGCCAGTGACCTGCATTTCCACAGAAGCACCTTGAGAAACCTTCAGGGAAACCCCATGCTAGTGGCAACTGGTCCACATTTTCTAGAGAGCTGGGAGCAGAAATGTCGTCGTCTCAGGAGAGGTACAGGGAATCAGAAAATTCTAGATAGTGATACCGATTGTTGCAAAAGTCAAGCAGAATTTAAAATCCCAGGCCAGACTCATGCAATTCCCTATGAAAACGATGAGTTTGCAAAAGATCCTGAGACTGAAGCACTCAACAATCAGAAGTCACGGGAAACCAATGAAAAACCAACTGCAGCTCCTGCCAAAACCTGTGCAGAGCTGGAGTCCATCCACAGAACACCCTGGGCAGCCCATAGCACCTCCCTGGAAGCAAAGGCCTGGGACAGCAGCAGGCAGAAGGCCTCAGAGGAGTCTTTCACAGCCTGCAGTGAAAAGAATCCAGGGCCTCCACCAGCTCTGCCAAGTAGGTGTCTGGGGCCAGTTGAAGATCCTCATTAACCACAGGTCGACAAATCCTTAAGTTATTATGTAGTGAACGGTAACAATCATGCCTCTTTTTATCCTACTTTTTCTTAATGATGTCACTTTATTGAAGTCACTATATTAAGTTAATTCCAACAAGCTGTATCAATGAAAAATATATATATATATCTATATAGCTATATAAAGAATTTTCGGTAAACGCTAGGAAAGTAAAGTATGAGGAAGTATAAGGAAACCTATCAGAATTCCATTTAATATGCTATTAAATGAAATTTAAATTTTCATTTAATATACTATTAATTTTATCAACAAAACGGGGGGCCTTCTTGCTTAAAAGTATGAATTTTATCTCCCCTGTATCTAAGTGTTGAAAAAAATAGGCAGTTGAACAGTAGCATTAACTTTCAGGACACATGACTGTTATTATATCTTCTAACCTAAGGAGGTTCACAGTGGTTAAGAGCTCAGCTGCTAACCAAAAGGTAAGCAGTTCGAATCCACCAGCTGCTCCTTGGAAACTCTACGGGGCAGTTCTACTCTGTCCTGTAGGGTCACTATGAATTGAAGTCAACTCAGCGACAATGAATTTGGTTTGATTATCCAAAAAAAAACCACACACTGAATAGTTACCTACAATTTCTTTAGATAAAAATATTTTAAAACACAGTGATTTTTGGCTATGTGTAATCTAGCCATCATACTAACTGCTTCCCTAGTAAGTGTTAATACACCGTTTTGATGAAGACAAAGCTAAATTCTTGCATCACCTAGAGAACTTCATAAACCACATAATACCATAGACCATGGTAGCATTAATCTGTAGAACGAAATCCACAGGACATTTTTATTACAATCTGAGAGAAGCTAGAGGAGATCTGAAGCTCTTTTGTTCACTTACAATAACACCATCTCTAAGGATTCTTTCAGAAAAAGAAAAGAAAGAAGGCAGCTAAGGTTTTTTTTGTTTTGTTTTGTTTTTTGTCTCCTAGTAACTCTTAATATCTTTTAGGAAATTTTTGTGTATATCTGCAGAAAGGGACCACTCTGGAGAGTACGAGGAAATCAGACACAGACCTGTGCGTTTAGCTTCCCTCTCCCTGAAAAACGTATAACCCAAATCATATCCTTTCATTTTTAAAGGAACAGGTGAACTGGTTACAACTGGGGAACATCTATCTTTGGATGAAGATATTCAGAAATGGACCGTGGATGATGTGCACAATTTCATTAGAGGCCTTCCAGGCTGTTCAGCCTATGCTCAGGTGACTTAAATAATATTTGTTTTTGTAAAAGTATGACACTCTGAAATATATTTCCTTGATAACAAATTCCGTCACTCCCATTTGCTCCCAGAGAGGATTCTCAATAGTCTCCCCTTTTTTATGCCATGGGCTCCCCTGGGGCAGGTGCCTCTGATTGGTGGAGCCTATGTCATGTACCCACACCCCAACTGCAGGGGAGGCTGGGAAAGCCAGAGTTGGGCTTCAGTTTCTCTCCTGGGAAGCAGGCTCTGTTTCCCATCAAGACTCCTGAGATGTGGGAGTTCTCCCAAAACTGGATGCAAGTTCAGAAGCCAAACATCCAGAAGGAATGAGAAATGTCTACTACATTCCCTACTCATCCACATAACAAACAATTTTCAAGCACATAGTCCTGTGTCAGCAATTTTGGGCTATTCATCATAGCTAGCAGAAATATATACTTCATTCTGAAAAGGACAAGAAGAAAAAAATAACAATTAAAAACAGGAAGAAGAAAAAAAAAAAAAACAAGAAGGCAACAGATCTGAAAAGCAGGAAGTTAACAGCTTTTAAAATCCTATACTTATGCTGGGACTATATATAAAAATGCACATATACCTATAATTTAGTCTTGTAGATAAATACTATATTTTAAATTATAATGAACTGTTAGGACACTTGGGACAAAATTGGTGACAAAAATCATGGGCTAATAAGTTTTTTAAGTTTATGTCAGTGGTGGATTTTCATGCCCATAGTTTATGTTGTCAAGTGACTTAATAACACAATTCCAAGCAACAAAGTGCCTACTATATCAGGTATCATTATCTTTGGTTTCCATGTTAAAGAAGAATAAAACAAATAAAAGACATTACGAATTAACTGCATCGTAACTGACTGATGTTCAAGCTGATACTTTTCAGATCTCAGTTTTGTGATAATGTTTTTCTTCAGAATAAATAAACAAACAAAAAGAGCAAACCTGTTGCTGTTGAGTCGATCCTGACTCATAGCGACCTTATAGGACTGAGCAGAACTGCCCCACAGGGTTTCTCAGGAGCCACTGGTAAATTTGAACTGCCAAACTTTTTGGTTTGCAGACAAGGTCTTAACTTCTGCACCACCAGGGCTCCTTCTTCAGTATAATGCTGTTAATTTTTTATTCTTCTTTTTTAAACTTTTTTATTTTTTTTGGGGGTCCTGATTATGGGATATATGGAAAAATCTATAGAGTAGTAATTAAAAGTATGGGTTCTGAGCCAGAAAGTACAAGTTTAAATCCTGGCTTTTCTACTTTCTGGACATATGACCTAAGGCAAGTTATTCTCCTTTCTGTGCCTATTAGTGTTTTCATTTGTAAAATGGGGATAATAGTAATAATGTAGTTTTCAAGGATTGTCATAAACATTGAAGAGTGCCTGGTACATTGTAAATGCTCGATGAATTTTTTTGACATTTTTTTCATTTATAAATATAAATGAATGACGTTAGAATTTCTTCATTATATCAGAGGCTCCTATAGAGAGCAGAACTGCGAGCAAAAGTTGTATTCTTCATATCACCCACTTTTGTCTTCTTGCATAATCTGATAAAAATGTTGACATATTTGCTTCTGCTCAATGGGTATAATCTTATTATTTTAGTCATTAACCATGGATAAGTCACTTTTTAAATTAATCTATGCCACTTATCAAGTGCCACATCAACCACAATTACAATGAAGTTGTATAACTCTGATAATTGCCAGAAACAAGAAGCTCTGTGTGTAATGAACATGTGATTACTGATTCCTGGTGAGTTGAATTTGTTTGAACTCTGATTACTCTTCAACAGTCAGTGATCTACAATCACAGAAGTACAGTTTACAATAACTGCTCTTGCAGTGAATAATGTTGCATGCGTTTTATACTTTATAATCCCAAATGTCCCACACTACTTGTGGGTACATAGAAATCACTTAAACACTGCTGATTCATAATCTCTCTCTTACAGGATAGCGTCCCCTTCCTCACCCCAAGAAATGGTACCAGTTACTTCTAGGTGTTTCTCACATGTGTTCAGGACCAAGTCCTGTTCTTGTTCCCTCGTTAAAGTCCCCACAGGCGACTGCAAGAACGTCGCTGTGCACACTCCGTGCAGCGCTCTGTGACTGTGCTTTATACAGAAGTAGGGGGAACCCATCAGCTTCACCCCTGTGCAGCAAATCCTCAGGCAGCACCGCCTGTGCACAGCTGTCACAAAGACCCGTGTCTAAAATGCTCAAACGCTCCACTGCCTTTTCTTTAAACAGGTCAGACCAAGCCCCTGGGACTAGACTGAGTTCCACCTACTAGCCTACTCTCCGTTCTCTTCCTCCTCACCTCTGCCTTAGGTGTCTACTCATCAGCCTGGAAGCATTTGCCTCCTGTTGGCAGAAAAAGAAAATCAGAAAAAATAACCACCACTAAAATCCAAAGCCCCGGTGCAAGTAAATGCTTTCAAACAGATATGGAGAGAGGGTTGGGTGGCTCAGCTTTTTAGGGATGTCCAGGAGAACCTGCCACATATTTTGTTTGTTCTAACTAAATGTGCTGATGGCGCAGTGGCTAAGAGCATGCCTGCTAACCAGAAAGGTCAGCAGTTCAAATCCACCAGCCGCTCCTTAGAAACCCTATGGGGCACTTCTACTCTGTCCTATAGGGTCTCTATGAGTTGGAATTGACTCAACAGCAATGGGTTTGGTTTAACTAAATGTCTAGTACAGAGAACTCAACAGATAAAAATATTCCCTCTATTGAAATAACTAAAATTACCCAAAACAGGTGCACTTGGCCTGAAATGCCCTGGTAAGAACAGAAGGGAAACATCTTCTGAGCGCCAGTGATGTATCCTGCATCCGTGCCTTGGGCCCAGAGTACGCCCACCATGGCTGAGGCTTAGGCTTGCGTATATTTCAGGCCTTGGCTGCCAAGTCACCTCTGTTTGAAAATTACCCCTGACTTTCATGGTTTCTCCTTCTTTGGATCCTCCTTTCACTGCTCACCAGAACCCATACCAGGGAAAGAAACATGAGGTAAAACTTCCACCAATTAAGTATCGTTAACTGTTTTTATCAGCACTCCTTTTTTTGAATGGCAGTGGCTACAGCAGGAAAAATCCTGGATCAGAAACATGAAATACCACCATCGTCACCAGTTGCTATCAAGTCCATTCCAACCCATGGCAACTCCATGGGTGTCAGAATAGAACTGTACTCCATAAAGCTTTCTTCCTTTTCTTTTATTATTGTGCTTTAGGTGAAAGTTTACAGAGCAAATTAATTTCTCACTAAACGGTTAATACACAAATTGTTTTGTGACATTGGTTGCCAACCCCATGATACCTCAACACTTTCCCCTTTTCCACCCCAGTTTCCTTGTTTCCATTCATCCAGTTTTCCTGTCCCTTCCTGCCTTCTGTCTTTGCTTTTGGGCTCATGTGCCCATTAGCCTCATATACTTGACTGAATTATGAAGTACGACCCTCACATGTGTTATTGTTGGCCCTATAGACCTGTCTAATCTTTGGATGAAGGGTAAACCACAGGAATGACTTCAGTACTGAGTTAAAAGGGTATCAAGGAGCCACACTCTTGGGGCCTCTCAAGTCTCTGTCAGACCAGTAAGTCTGGTCTTTTTTTTTTTTTTTTTTTTGGTGAATTTGACTTTTGTTCTACATTTTTCTCCTGCTTTATCTGGGACCCTCTATTGTGATCCCTACCAGAGCAGTCAGTGGTGGTAACTAGGCACCATCTAGTTGTTCTGGGCTCAGTCTGGTGGAGGCTGTGGTAGTTGTGGTCCACTCTTCCTTTGGACTAATCTTTCTCTTGTGTCTTTGATCTTCTTCATTCTCCTTTGCCCCAGCTGGGATGGGACCAGTAGATATATCTTAGATCCATAATGTTATCAATGGTTGATTTTTTGGAAGTTGAATGCCAGGCCTTTCTTCCATGATAACATGTCTAAAGTACGTGAGATGAAATCTCACCATTCTCGCTTCCAAGGAGCACTTTGGCTGTATTTCTTCCAAAATAGACTTGTTCATTCTTCTGGTAGTCCATGGTATATTCAATATTCTTCACCAACACCATAATTCAAAGGCATCAATTATTCTTCGGTCTTCTTTATTCATTGTCCAGTTTTCATGTGCGTATGAGGTGATTGAAAACACCATAGTATGGATCAGGCACACCTTAGTCGTCCAAGTAATGTTTGCTTTTCAACACTTTAAAGAGGTCTTTTGCAGAAGATTTGCCCAATGCAATATGTCGTTTGATTTCTTGACTGCTGCTTCCATGGACATTGATTGTAGATCCAAGTAAAATGAAATCCTTGACAACTTCAATCTTTTCTCCATTTATTATGATGTTGCTTATTGGTCCAGTTGTGAGGATTTTTGTTTTCTTTACGTTGAGGTGTAATCCATACTGAAGGCTGTAGTGTTTGATCTTCATCAGTAAGTGCTTCATGTCATCTTCACTTTCACCAAGCCGGTTGTGTCATCTGCATATCGAAGGTTGTTAATGAGTCTTCCTCCAACCCTGGTGCTCCATTCTTCTTCACATAGTTCAGATTCTCGGATTATTTGCTCAGTATACAGATTGAATAAGTCTGGTGAAAGGATACAACCCTGACGCACGCCTTTTCTGATTTTAAACCACGCAGTATCCCCTTGCTCTGTTCGAACAACTGCTTCTTGGTCTATGCACAGTTCTGCATGAGCACAATTAAGTATTCTGGAGTTTCCATTCTTTGCAATGTTATCTATAATTTGTTATGATCCACACAGTCAAATGCCTTTGCATAGTCAATAAAACACAGGTAAACATCTTTCTGGTATTCTCTGCTTTCAGCCAAGATCCATCTATCATCAGCAATGATATCCCTTGTTCCATGTCCTCTTCTGAAGCCATTACAGAGTCAGAATAAGCAGATCTTGTTGGAAAGGTCAGTGGTGACAGCTGTCACCTGCACGCTCTTCCTCCCTTCACCCTACATCTAAGGCCGAAAACACCCCACTTGTAAATGTGAGAGATGAAATCTGTCTGTGATGGCTTTTACCTACATCCATTTACTCAGAGTATTTGTCCATTCATCCTTTCATTGATTCATGCAGCAACAGTTATTGCACATCTTCTACCAGGTGCCAGCCATGACATTGGGGTACATTAGTAAATAATACTGAGCCCTGCTCTCAAACAGAATTGCTGCAGGTTGGAGGGGAAACCTATAAACAGAGAATTACAATAACTCCAAAGATTATTAAAGAGCCCAATCTAATCGGCCTAATAATGTGTTTAGTGATTCTGTTCTACTTCCTAGTTTTTGCATAGTGCCTGGGGTCTTAAAAGCTTGCAAGCAGCCATCCAAGGCACAACAATTGGTCTCTATTCACCTGAAGCAACAGAGGAAGGAGAGTGAGGAATAGGAGGAGGATATGGAATGTGTGGCAAATTGCCTCTATCAACAATTATTTCCTTTGCCATGAGACCAGAAGAATGGGATGGTGCCCAGCTACCATTACTGAATATTTCGATCAAAGATTCCATAGAAGAATCCTGATCAAAAAGAAGAAAATGCAGAACAGAATGTCAAATTCTCATGGAATCCAGACTTTCTAGCACTATGGAGGCTGGATGAACCCCTGAAACTATTGCCCTGAGATAATCCTTAAACCTCAAACCAACAAGATCCCCTGAAGTCATCTTAAAATCAAACGATAGTCTAGCTTAGGTAGTAAATAAAATGTCTGCCTTGAGCATTATGCTCTTTTAAGAACTATCTATGTGGGATCAAAGTGACAACAGCAACTTGAAAGATTAGATTGGAGACTCAGGGGGCAGTGAGTTTGTGTAAATGGGAGAGGAACAACTCAGAAAATGAGGGTGAGCATGGTTGCACAACTCGAAGAATGTAATCAATGTCACTGAATTGTACATGTAAAACCAGTTGAATTGGTGTATGTTTTGCTATGTATATTCTCAACAAAAAAAACAAGTTTTAAAAAAAAGGAAAAAATGTATACACAGTGGCCCGAGAAGCTTTAAAAAAAAAAAAATAAAACAAACAAATAAAAGAAAAAAAACCAGAGCACAATCAATGTGCTACTCGAGCACAGAAGAGAGAGCAACTAAAACTAAGTAATTTAGTAAATTTTTCTGTCATCCTCAAGTGGTGTTAATGTTTTGCCCCAAACCAAAATATCTATATATATAAAACAAGAATTTTTTTTAAAAGATTATTTGGACAAAGTTAACACCTTTTGTGTTTAATAAGGTATTTAAAGATCATGCAATTGATGGAGAAACTTTGCCATTACTCACAGAGGAGCATCTTCGAGACACAATGGGATTAAAGCTAGGGCCGGCACTAAAAATTCAATCTCAGGTATGATGATTCTGTGTAACTAAATGTGTATTAATGGCATGAAGCATAAGATAAATGTGTTACTTTTATCCTGGTTTGATATAAATGATACCTATTTAACCCCTTCTTGGCTTTTCTGCTTTGTGGGTGGGAACATGACAGAAGTGTGGGAACCTAAAAACATTGCATAGTTCGGTGATATACTTTTCTAGGTGTAGTTAGGAAGGTTATAACTAGTGGTATACTGGTAAATGTTTAACAACCATATCTCTTTAAAAAAAGGGGCGGGGGGAGGGAGAGCCCTGATTCATAGCATTTGCCAATTGCTGTGGTGTAAATGCTCCCACCACGGTTGATTTCAAGCTACCAATGTGATGTCACTGAATACACAATTGGGAAGAGATGCACAGCAGCAGACCATTTCAAGTATTTTCACCATACAGATACAATACATGTAAATAACCTCAAGAGCAGAGATAATAGTAAATAATAATGGTAAAATAATTAGGTAAAAATAATTAGATAGTGATGAGGTTTGAGTATTTATTACCTCTATTTTCAATATAATTTATTTAATTGTAAGTTTATGTAAATTTTTAATAATGGTATATTTAACAACTGGCTTGCAAACTTCCTAAAAATTTAACTTTCAGCTGTTGAGACCTGGCACAAGCTGGTCTCAACACACCACTGTGTGTGAATGTGTTTGTTACATAATCTCTAGAAACCAACCACTTCTCACCACCTTCATTGTTCACCCTGGTCCCAGGCACCATCGTCTCTCAATGGATTACAGCATTAGCCTCCTAACTGTTCTCCCTGCTCTGCCTTTGCCCACCACCCACAGACTATTCACGAAGAATAAAGAATGGTCCTTTTAAATGTTGCATCAGGTCTAGAATGTACCTTCCATGAGAGCAGGGATCTTTATCTGTTTTGTTGACTGGTATATCCCTAGAACATGAGAGACCCGTAATAGGTCAATAAATATTTGTTGAAAGAATGAGCTTCCAAACAGCAACACTAAAAGTGAAACCGAGAAGCAGTCAAAGCAGTCACTAATTTTCCCCAGGATTTATGCAGGACTGCACCTAAACTACTTCAAATAAATATACCAGGAACTGAGATTTCAGAATCTCCTTCAAAAACTATTTTTATTTGCCTAAAATTTTTAGATAAAGAAGTTCTTTATTTTGAATGTAAATTTTGATGTTTCTACTAGCATTCTCTTTTTTAAAACTTGTTATTTTGAAATAATTTTAGATTTACAGAGAAAATAGCATAGACAGTTCCTGTATACCCTTCACCCAGCTTCCCCCAATAGCTCATAGAACCATGGTACATTTGTCAAAGCTAAGAAATTAACATTGGTACAATACAGTATTCTTTTTGTTTTTATTATTGTGGTAAAATATATATTAAAACACATTTGCCATTTCAACATTTTTTGGAAGTACAGTATTCATTTTTAAATTATTCATGTATAGTAAGAATACTGTATCTCTTGGCATACTTACAATGACACTGCACTGTCTTCTTTCAAATCATAATTTCCATTCTTTCAAGCTTTCACCATAGATTTCACTCTTTTAAAAAAATCATCTTCAAAATGTTTCATCCTAACCTGTTTTTTGCTGTTGTTGATGATGCCCTAACCTGTTTATAGCATAATCATCCAGACTTAGATGAAATGCTCACCCTACAGGATTTTGTTATTGTTGTTGTTAGGTGCCATCAAGTCGATTTCGAGTCATAGTGACCATATGTACAACAGAACAAAATGCTGCCTGGTCCTGAGCCATCCTCACAATCGTTGCTATGTTTGAGCCCATTATTGTGCCACCATGTCAATAGATCTCATTGAAGGTCTTCTTCTTTTTCATTGACCCTCTATTTTACCTAGCAAGATGTCCTTCTCCAGAGACTGGTCCCTCCTGATAACATTTCCAAAGTAAGTAAGATGAAGTCTCACCATCTTTGCTTCTAAGGAGCATTCTGGCTGTACTTCTTCCAAGACAGATTTGTTTGTTCTTCTGGCAGTCCGTGGTATATTCAATATTCTTGGCCAACATCATAATTCAAAGGCTTCAATTCTTCTTCAGTCTTCCTTATTCATTGTCCAGTTTTCGCATGCTTAAAGGATTTTACTGGTACCTTGCCACTGACGGAAGGGCACAGGAATGGATACAGGGAGAACATAGAAAAGATTTAGCAGAGCTAGAAACTTCCTAGGAGAGCAAACAAGAAAAAGAAGAAACCCTAGAAAAAACTGGAAAAATAGAAATTATCAAAAAACAATTTAATGATTAATGTGACTTTTTCTTGTGACTACTTTACCACCGGTCTTAGCTTCCTAGTACTGCCATAACAGAAATGCCATAGGTGAGTGGTTTTAAAGAATAGAAATTTATTTTCTCACAGTTCAGGGGGCTAGATGTCCAAACTCAGGGCACCAGCTCTAGGGGAAGCCTCTCTCTCTGTCAGCTCTGTGGGAAGTTCCTTGTCTCTTTCAGCTTCTATAGCCCAGCGTTCCTCAGTTCCTTGGTGATCTTCACATGGTATCTATTGCGTACCTTTCAGTGTCTTCCTTTACCTTGATTATGTTGTGCTGACGTCCCCCATACTGTGTATTATCTCTCCCATCACTGAAGTGTCTACTCTCTAGTTTGTGGTTTTCCCTCCCCTCACTCATCTGGTAACCATCAATGAATGTTTCTGTCTGTGTGAAAATCTTTTCTTGACTTTTTATAATAGTGGTCTCACTATTTGTCCTTTTGTAATTGACTTATGTGACTCAGCATAATGTCCTCCAGGTTCATCCATGTTGTGAGATGTTTCAAAGATTCGTTGTTATTCTTTAACTTTGCATAGCATTCCATTGTGTGTACGTACCACATTTTGTTTATCTGTTCATCCATTGATGGGCACTTAGGCTGTTTCCATCTTTTTTGCTATTGTAAATAATGTTACAATGAACATGGGTATGCATATTCTATTCATGTCATGACCTGTAGAATTCCAAGAAGCAGACAGCATTCTTTCCTTTCGTTCTTCCTCTGTCTACTTCAGTCTAAGATGATGGGTTTTCTGCTCTGGTAGTTTGTTAGACCCACAAGCCACAGGCTTAACTCTTTAACAAAAGATTGTGTAGCCATGTCCTTGGTGAACATTCTAGCACACGTGTCCTTAGTTTGTACAACAGAATTTTCCAAATATTTAAGTTCTGTTTTCATTTTGCATGGTTCATTTTTAAATCCATCTCCTTCCTCTCACATTTTACTATAAGCAGCAAAGAGAAACCACTGCAAGGAGAGGCCCCTTTAAGATTTTGTTTAGAAATCTCATCAGTCAGGTATCCAGGTTCATCACTTACAAGTTCTACCTTCCACCAAACATTTTAACATAATTCAGACAAGTTCTTTGCCACTGTTTAAAAAGCATCACCCTTCCTCCACTGTCCAATCACATATTTATCATTTTCTTTTAAAGCCTCACTAGAAGCACACATTTAATGTCCACATTTCTAGCAACATTCTGTTGCTGACATCATAGGCATTCTCTGTGGTGATAGAAACTTTCTCTATAGTTCTCCTCACTTTCTTCTGAGCCCTCACCAGTATTGCCTTTGACATCCATAATTCTACCAACAGTCTCTTCAAGGCAATCTAGGCTTTTACTATTAGGTACCTTAAAACTCTTCCAGCCTCTACCCATTACCCAATTCCAAAACCACTTCCACATTGTAGGTATCTGTTAGAGCAGCAACCTACTCTTCCAGTACCAAATTTTGTCTTAGTTATCTAGTGCTGCTATAACAGAAATACCACAAGTGGATGGCTTTAACAAACAGAAATTTATTTTCTCACAGTTTAGGAGGTTAGAAGTCTGAACTCAGGGTGCCAGCTTTAGGGGAAGTCTTTCTCTCTCTGTTGGCTCTAGAGGAAGGTCCTTGTCTCTTCGGAGCTTCTTTTCCTGGGTAATCTTCATGTGGCTTGGCATCTCTCTTACCCCACCTCTGCTTCCTAGCTTGCTTGTTTAATCTCTTTTATATATCAGAAGAGATTGACTCAAGATACGCCCTGCACTAATCCTGCCTCATTAACATAACAAAGACAACCCATTCCCAAATGGGACTATAACCACAGGCATAGACGTTAGGATTTACAACACATATTTTGGGGGGTACATAATTCAATCTATAACATCCTCCTTGTCATATGTTGTTAAGCAGAGTAAGCTGGGTTATGGAAAGAATCCACAGACTTAATTACTATAATTATTCTGTCTTCAAAGGTATCTCAGCATGTGGGAAATATGTTCTACAAGAAAAGTCTTTCACTTCCTATCCATACGTATTCAACAAGGCAAGCATTTGACCAACCTGCAGATACATCCTCTCTTTTGGATTTTAATTCCTGGGGTGATTCACCGGGCATTCCTTGTTCCCAGGATATAATTCCTAAAGGAAATGAGCAAGATAGTATGAGGAATTAAAAACCCTCAAGGAACAAAAACAGTCTTTACCACTTTTCCAGAGTGGAGAATATTCCAAAGGGTGTGTGAGTATTTTCCAGGACCAAAGAAGGCCGTGGGGGAGAGAAAGCCCTCCTGGAGCCCAACAGGCTTCCTGTCAGGGCTGAAGTGACTTCAGCACAAAACAGCTGGAGGTGTATCCTTGAAGCAAATGCTAAATGACAGAGAGAATTTGCAAACATCAAGAAAGCTACAGTTGCATGTTCCCAGGAGGAAATCTCTGAGAAAGCCCTAGGACCGCATGCACCGTTCTACTGTGACACACATGGGGTCACCGTGAGTCGGAATCCACTCCCACGGCAAGTAATTTTTTTGTTTTGTTTTGTTTTACCTCTCTTCACTCATTTACCTTCCCCCAACCCTGGAAGAGACAAACGCAACCCAGTAGGGACGGAAGGAAGCAGAGGAAAATGTGCAGAAGTAGGAAATAGGGAAATAAAGAAGCTGACCACAAGGACTCTACTTTTTCTCATTGTAGACTGCCAGCCTGAAGCAGAAAGCTAGGGAAAGGGGAAAAGCTTTAACCTTAAAGTTCAGAGTCTGACTATTACTCAGGACTAGGCGTTTCATTTCTGAAATGAAAACTATTTTATGACTAAAAGTGACTGAAAGACTTCTTATTAAATGAGAGATGAAAAGTCATAGCACCCACCTCAGACTTCATCCAAGGGGTAGAAAAGAGTTATCTCCACAAAGCACGTTTGAAATGGCAAGGCGGAGGGGAGAAGATTAAAGTGGCTTTCTGCTTGCACCCTACGGCGTCCCACTCTTTCAAGTTAACATTTAACAGAAAGTCTCTGAAATGATACACAAGAATCTAGTAGTATAGTTTGTTGAAGGAGGGAACTGGGTTACAGGGGTATGAGGGAGAATTCTCACTATACAACATCTTGTCATTTTGAGTATTTAACCATGAGAATGTTTTTCTATTTTTAAAATCTACATTTAAAATAAACAAATTGTAGTAGGCAGCCTCTAAGATAGCTAGCTCCCAAAGGTTCCTGCTTCCTGGCATTCACGCCCTTGTTGAATCCCCTCCCCTCAGGGTGGGCTGGACTTACTGACTCTTTTCGAGTGACTAGAATACAGAAGACATGATGGAATGTCTTTCTGTGGCTTCTGTCTGCTCTCTTTGGACTGCTCACACTGGCGGAAGCCAGCTTCTAGGCAGCTCTGTGGAAAGGCCCATGTAACTGCATTTGGAAAGGGATCTTCTGAGGACTGCCAACAACTCCCTGCAGGAATTGGAAGTGGATGCTCTCCCAGTGGAGATTTGGAATGACTGCAGCTCCAGCCAATAGCTTGAAGGCATCCTCATTAGGGACCCTGAGCCAGAGGGACCCAGCTAAGCTGCTCCTGGATTCCTGATCCACAGAAACTGTGAGATAATAAACGTGTGTTGTTTTCAGCCACTAAACATTGGAGTGATTTGTTTCATAGCAATAGATAACTAGCACAAACAAATAAACTGCTTTTGATAAACATAAATAGCACACTACCCATATTCGCTTTGTGATTTAGAAGGTGGGTTTTTTGGAGTTGTTTCCCCACCAACTAATGCTAATTTAGTTGAGCTTCGCTTTCCTTAATTTTTACTAGAAAAACAGTTTTTTTTTTCTTCTTTTCTGACATATATTTGTGAATTGCTAGTTTACTCTCTTGGTCCATTTTCTAAGAGAGAGAGAAGAAAACTATCTCCCAAAATTTCAAAATGTTGTTAATTTTGTATAAGATACTTAAGTAGTATAAGAAGCCTTGTATAAAATAAAATAACCTGATAAATAATGTCTCGGGATTTTTATCAAAAACATATTTTGGTAAGTGAAAAAGTCCTGCGCTTTCTTCCCCTCTTTGTATTCTTCTGCTCTCCAGTATACCGAAGACTGTTATGCCACATGACGTTTCACCTGTTATAACTCCCAACACACAGAAGTTTCACAAAATGCCTGATGTGCGTTAACAGGTGCTATGACAGAATCAACCAGACAGCAACAGGTTTGATTTGGCTTTTGATGGTGGAAATGGTTAACACACTCAGCTGCTAACCAAAAGACTAGAGGTTTGGGTCTACCCAGAGGTGCCTCAGAAGAAAGGCCTGGCAATCTACTTCTGAAAAATCAGCCATTGAAACCCTGTGGAGCACAGTTCTACTCTGATACACATGCGGTCACCATGAGTCAGAACTGACTCCATAGAAACTGTTTTTTGTTTTGTTCAAAAATGAAAAGCTTAATTAATATTTTTAGTGGCAATGAGATCATGTGGTTCAACCTTCTGAATTTCTTATTTCTGCTAAATGAGTCAATTGAGTTGGTAACTGATTCAATTGAGTTGGTAACTGATTCATTTGAACAGATATGTTTCAATGTGGCTCTAAGGAAAATGTTCTGATATGCCATCCTGGCCTGTACTGTCACCAAAAAAAGCACTGTACTTAACTTTAGATCCATGCATGAAAAAAGAAGCAGAGAACACACATAAAGGAGGCTCTCCCCCGTTTTACTACTCTTCATTGGAAGAAAAGGTGGCTGAGATTGCTTCTCCATGCCAATTTTTCTTTTCAGATTAGCGATTCTGGGCACCTTATAACAAAAAAATACTTTAGTAACAGAAACGATTTTAGAGCGTAAAAGTGTTGATTATGTTATCCTAGAAACGTTTTCACTTTTCCTCAAATGCTACTTTGGTCTTGAACATACTCAGTGTTCTTTGTGAGAATAAAATAATAATAATAATAATAATAATAATAACTGCAACAAAAAAACCTCTCTTGTTTGAAAACCAATCACAATAATACTCTGTTAAAGAGAATATCTGACATAAAATATTATATTCAGACTGCATAAACATCCATACAATTGAGAACTATGCAACTGTTTCCTCTATGAAAGTATTACAGTTACGAAGAAGGAATAATAGACTTCAAACATTACCATTTTGTATTCTAAAAAACAAAAGATTTAGGAAACGATAAAAAAAAAATGGCTGCTAATATCACAAAAAGAGAAACAACCAGATATATGTTCCTGCTGATGGACATCTGTAAAACTTCTAAGAAGTAGTTTACAAAAAAAAAATAACCCGAATCTAATTAAAACTCTAGATCCAAAAACCGAATTACAGGAAACACAGGGGACAGAGGAATATGTTAAGCATCACCACAGTTACAAAAATAGCAAAATCCAGGCTGTGGGAAATTATATAAGAGAAAGCACCTAATTTTCTTCAACAAATAAATTGAAAGGAAAAATAGAGTGGGAAAGGGAAAACCTATACATTAAAAGATACTCAAGATTAAAATGGAACCCTAGTGGCACAGTGGTTAAGAGCTATGGCTGATAACCAAGAGGTCAGCAGTTCAAGTCCACCAGCTACTGCTTGGAAACCCTATGAGGCAGTTTTACTCTGTCCTGTAGGGTTGCTATGATTCGGAATGAGGACAATGGGTTTTGTTTTTCTTTGGTAAGATACAAATACAATTACAGGTATCCCACGCTTTTCCAAAGTTCGCCTTACTCCATTTCACTTTTGTGAAAGACCTGCATTAGTACCTCTTTTAGCTAACTGAAAGAAATCCAAAGAGGATTTTTGCTTTTACAAAAAAGACAAAAAGAGGAAACAGCCTTCAGCATTTGTTTTGCAGTGAGCCACCCGCACCCAAGCAGGGAGAGTGGTGTCTCCAAGCTCCTTCCCCAGAACAACACCCAGATTCCTGCTTTTATTATATGTTAGTATTTCTTCAGGTTTTAAGTGTTATTTGGTATGATTTGATGGGTTACTTTTTGGTCTAGGAACACTCAAAATATTTTCCCATATAAATTAATAGCAATTGTTTCTTTGCTTTACTCCATTTCCTATACCAAAGGTGTTATTGGAACTCTCTAATTTCAGATAGCGGGAGAAATCTGTATAGACCTTATTAGGACCTTATTCAAACACACTGAAAAAAAAATACTATAAAGCAATGAAATGTGAACAAGAATTGCGGATATTCAATTAAAAATCATTGTTATTTTTAAAAATATGATAGTAGTATTGTGGCTATTTTTAAGTTCTTATCTTTTAGAAATATATATTGAAATATGTACAGATAAAATGATATATGTTGGGTGTGGGATTTGATTTAACCCTACCTACAGTCTACTACTTCCGCCTGTTATATTTTATGGAGGCTGGCAGAATACACAAGACTCCTGAGTCAGAGACACAGGACTTGATTACTCTTAAAACAGTAAACAGTGTGGATATCAGCATATTTGCCTCGGTTCTCCTTGCCCTCAGGTGGCACAGGGGTGATACAGATGAGCCTAGAGGATGCCTACATATGTAGTGGATTTGCTTCACAGCTGAGGGACATTGAGCTTGAGGAATCTACCAATTTTATAGCAAGCAGTAAGCAAGCCTTCTCTTTTTCCAGGGAAGGGGAAGTGGGAGTGTTAGCTCACTTTTTTAGGTTACCAGTTGCATAAATAACCCTGACAAATGGCCCTGGTAAAAGAGCAGTCAGAGCCTTGCAGTCTTAGCACACTCAGTAAACTGGTAGGAACAAAGGAAGACCGTGTCTTCCATCAATATCATGCCATGGATTTGCTTCAAAAACTCCACTGAAGAGGAGAGTGTAGGTAAGTCAGTGGGGTATAGGTGAAACATGTTTGGTCATTAGTCAATACTTGTTGAAGCCGGGTTATTAGTATATGAGATTCACTATACTATCCATTCTACTTTTGTATATGTTTAAAATTTTCCATAATAAAAGTTTTAAAAAATCTATTTACTAAAGAGTTATCACATATACTATATGTGGGTCCATTATTTTTAACAAATTAAAATATTTAAAAATATATATTTGTTATGTAAAACATATGGAATATATTATTCTGCCCATTATTACTAAAAATGTACTTCAAAAAATTCATTTCTTCATTATGGTAAGTACATACATTGTTATTTTATTACAGATA